CAAAGACAAATTATCGAAGGTTCGAGGTTACAAAGTTACGAAGGTCGAAGGTGCGAAGGTAAGAATGAAGGTAATCAAGGCTCAGATTATCAAAGTTACGAATTCATATGTTCAGATTATCATGTTGTCAAAACACCGAGTTCCCAATAAGCAAATTATACAATAAACGTAAAAAGTAACAAAATTGTTAGAACTAGAGAACAAATCCAAATTTCCAGCCTGAACAAATCCAAATCCCGTAGCCTCAGACCTAACCGAATTAAGAAGATAACCCCTGCATCACCACATCCAGACTAAATATAACAAATTCATAACAATAGGGTACCTGAACGGGCCAAATGAAATCAAATCAAATTGGATTTTTATTTTTTATTTTAATTGAAGATGAATGTACAATTCCTTCAGAGTTGAAAACTGTCTCCATAATTTAGACTTTCACAGAATATCATTGGATAGTACCCCTGCTAGCACAACTAGTCGACGAACTAGACATGGGCCTGCATGAAAACCAACCAGATCAAATCAATATTTACAGGGATCTAACCCCAGTCATTTTGACAATTGTACACTTTCCATCCGTAAGAGGCTGTAAGCTCAAACAACAGTCAAACCCTAACCCTTACAAATATCAAGCATTAACCTAGTAGCCCATGGTCATATAGAGTGTGTCGAAAATAAAACAAATTAATTATACCCTACTTTGAATTTGATTTCATTATCCTGATTTGGCGCCCTATGGGCCCATGCAGGTGTCTATATACTTTCTAATTTACATGAGAGGAAACCAATTATACCCTACAGCTTATTGTAATGGCTGGTAAGACGATTGGTCCCTGTAGCCATTGTTGGTTAACTTGGGCCTAATACGAGTGGCGTAATTAATCAATACCAATTTGCTAATGTGCGACGCCACCCAATACAATACTTTTGCGTCGGCATTTGCATGCTATTCACATGACATTGGACCCAGTAGTGCGGCATGGCAGTACGGCACTGCACCACATGTTGATAGGCTTACAGTGACTGGGAATATATGAGACCAAGTACAATCCCTCCAGACCATAACACAATAGTGCTGTATTACAGGCATAGTCAGAACACTAGGGGAGTCCCACAGCATAGGAACAGGAGAGGGATTAGCCTCGGTGGCGAGAAGGCTTTCACGTATATAAATGAATAGATAGATGTAGTGGAAGTTCTCTCCTTAGAATTATTATTTACTACCATCGACCACATAGTTGTCCCAGCACTTGTCCCTCGAAACCGTGACACTTATCCATGAAATATACTTTCAAGATTGCTCATACATTTGATACTGAAACCGTGTCAGCATTGCGGATATCTGCAGGCTTTGCCTGAACTATTACAATCTTTATGGATAGGATAAATATATTTATATAAACCCTTACGAGCCAAAAGTGCTGATCAGATAGACTTGGTCAGGATGTTTGAGAAAACAAGTTCTTGTTATGGACAGGCATCCTTGAAGAGGTTTCAAGGAGAAGGTTCTCAGGAAAAGGTGATGGGAGAAGGTTTTAAGAGGTTTTCCGAGAAAACTCTAACAGTTGGATATGGAGGGGCTGGCGTAATGACCACATCTGCTATAGCCTTAGTTTAGTTCTATCACAGTCTCGAGTTAAACTGAAGGGAGCTGGAGCTGCCACGCAGTCGCTCTCCTGCCTCGTAATCTTTTATTCTTTTGATCTTTGATCTCGCAATCTATTATTCGTATAATGTTATAATCTTATATTCCAAGTCTTTCATTCTTTGTTACATTCATTGCACTTCTCTTGACTCCAAGTTATCAGACTTGATTGCTCGCCCGGCAACTTGCAAGTTGAATTATATCTGAATATCCTTTGTTACTAGCTATAATCCTAGAAGTTATTAGAACATTACCTTTGATAGACGGCTGTTGAACGGATTGGTTTGCAAAAGCTTGTGGCTGTCAGGCACAGATTACATGTCAATCAGATAGACTCAGTCAGGATGTTTGAGAAAAGAAGTTCTTGTGCGTGTCCCACAAGCTATGTCTCATCTCTATCTATATACATCACATACCCCAAGCTCCAATCTCACCCTTTGTCCTTGATCTAGACTACTTCACTTTTGAATTCTTTGAAAATACCGTCTCCCTCCCCGACTTTCCACTAACTCCGACACATAACTCAAGTGAATACTACCTGTCACGGTTTGACCGTTGTATGAGCTTAGGTGAATACCTAATTGTAATACTTGGATTCTTTACAATAAGGTCGCACGGGGAGGGGAAGATAGAACTAGACGAAACGATAATACTAATCAGGACGCTAGATTGCTGTTACTGTTATGCTCAGCTATGTAGTATGGTAGATCTAGTAGCTGGTGCATAGGTAGTTATTATGGCAGCATGGCATCATGGCACATGAAGGAGATCCAGTCTCTACATAACGACATTACAAGTAGGAATGTGTGCAGTATGAGAGATGGGTTGTTGATATAGGATAAATGGCATGGCTGCTCAGTTGGTTGCACACTTTGGTGAGCTGCATACTGGTAACGTGATTGGTCTACAGGGAAACAAGCTAGGGGAAAAGGGACGAGCTTCCCCCAATCTGTAACATAATGATTATCATAGTCACTTCACTTCTGCACATTAATGAAGACATCTCTCCACATACTGTCTTAGCTGTTCCAGCGCAAGTGTACATTCCCATTTCATATACCAAGTAAAACAGTTACAACTAAGTAACACCCAACGATACGTGGCTAGTTAGCGAGTATGATGTCTGGAGGAAAACCATCAATTAGTAGATACACGCAGCGGATCAGTCATTATAAGTACCTGTTAGATGTAGCTAGAGTTCTCTTCTCTCCTCATATAGTTTAATAAATCGACTTATTCATCACCAACTCGGTTTCCGTCACACTACCCTAAAAATTCATCAGAATAAATAATCGTAAATTCACTGAAATGTAACCCAAACAAAGGAAATTCGGCTCAACATTATATCTCTTGGTGAAGCGAGTGGGAAAGTAAAGGAGTCTGTAAATCTGTTGTGGAGAGTTGTTGATTACTCCCACTGGGACACAGAGTGCTATATAAACTAAATTTTGTAATAATAAAATCTAGTGGTTGGTATTTACGTCAAAGCGCATTAATACTAACCTCACAGTGAATGGGAGATTAGTGACGTGTATTCTACACATCCCTGTCTTTACTATAATTGGAAGCACCAATTTCAACAACGGCGGTCTCCAGTATCCTTTGCGCACGCCGTAACAGTTCTGGTGTGTCACAGTTCGATAATAGAAAGCAATTGGGCATTTGTATGATTGAACGGTAAAGCTATAATTCACCCATGAAGAAGCAAACTACCTGCAAGTCTCCTGTACTACTTATACATATCCAGAGGTATCTAAATGTAGCCCATGTTTACAGTGTTAATGAAACTGACTAAAGGTTTGTTCTCCCGCACGGGTAACGCTTCCGATACTCTTGGCACTATCCTTTGCGTAGTCTCAGTGGCAATCTCGTATCAGTTTTCGTCTGCTGGTAATCTTCGGAGTGATAGAACACATAATTTGCCTTCTAAGGCCATCGAAGGCTACAGGACTTAACGGCTCACAAGCCGTCATATTGTGCATGTCCCTTAATCTATGTCCCATCTCTATGTATGTACGTCACATCCCCCAAACTCCCATCTCACCCTTTGTCCTTAGTCTAGACTACTGGACTTTTGAATACTTTGACAATACTGACCCTATGCCAGGAACTGATGACATTAAATCTCTTTCATCGGATTTCCCAAAGCTGATTCAGCCTCCGGTCTATACCATCTCCATTTGTTGTATTATCCATGTAACTCACCATGGTACATGCTTTGGGTCACGTCATAGTAGATGCACGTGACTGTGGAACTAAACCGTGGGGTGTTTAGTGTGTAATGCATGTGTGATTATAATGGGCCAAACTAGAGTTCGATAGAATAGAGATAATGGAATTAGCAAGAGACTGATGGACTGAAGGAGAACGAGCTGATCATTTCTCGAACGAGAGAAATGATATCATAAGTGAATGTTCTAGTACTAGGCTGTGAACAACACAGTAAGTCTGGAGCAAGATCTAAGGAGGTCTCAACCTCTGTCTATACATTGTAACCAAGTTTCCTTTACACAAGAATATAGAATCAAATCTTACATATCACGAGAACACATACAACAGCAGTTAAAGAGACTTCTGTGAGCATAACTTCCCCGAGAGTATCCATTGTCCTGCTCCTATATAGCCTAGTTAATATAATACCGTTCCATACATTCCACTAACTCCACCAACTCCGATACACAACTAAAGTGAATACCATCTTGCAAATCCACCAGAGTAAAGAATGATAAACCCACTAACATGTAGTTCAAACATAAAGAAATTGTCATGTAGAGACATGATTGATTCATGAGTTGATATTGCTCAGATGATCATGACTATATCACAACGTCATGTACAGACACGATTCATCGTTTGTACCTGTTGAATCAACCATGACTATATCTCAGTGATGGGAGAAACATCATTGACTAGTTACTAGAAACCTAATCAATATCCTAAACACACAACTGAGACTAGGAGAATTTAACTGGGTAAGTAATTATGATGATGAATCTAGATTTGGGGGAACATGATCTGGTTGCTTGGCTCGAGATATATGAACCGGAGCTTATCATGTATTATAAAATATATAGAAATCTATCTCAACTACAATCATCATCTTAATTCATGTCACCATCAATAGCTGCAATGGACAGTTTAACCATTTCCCTGTAAAAATTTTGGTCAATACAAAGCTAGTCACTTCATATACAGATATCTCACTTCTCATTCAATACAAGGTCAATTATATACTCTTAAATGGTTTAAGCCTGGAAAGAAATTTCCCTCCCTCACCTTCTAGACAGATAAGCTGGGACTAAAATTCTACAATCAATGCTTGAAGCTAATTTTGTGAAAACCTCTCCATCGGAATTCAAATGTTAACGCCCCTGCAAAGCACCATACTTTCGCCCACAAATTCAAATACTTCTATTACAGTCCTTTCTCGATTTGAATTAACCACAAATTGGTAGAGTCCACCTATTAAGAAGTGATTAGCCACTTGATGCTAAGAGAGAAGAAAATTAAATACCTTGCCAAATTTGGTGTGAAGAGAGAAGCGGATATTGTATGGCAGCTCCCTGATCACCAGCTAGAGGGTTGAGTAAGATACTGCACGGAAAATTGCCTCGACTTTGAGGTTCAATATTCCAGGCATATTTTGCTACTTCATGTACATAGCTGGCAGGAAAGGTATGCCCAGGACAGGGATATATTGTAGCAGAATCAACTTGCTTCAAAAGGCTGAATAATGCAATGGTAGAAGCAAGGGAGAAAAGTTTCATCTTGACTGTGATACTGGTTATTGTAACGGGTGCCTCGTAGGGGTTTGTAGAGCTGGATAGTATGCAAGATGTAGCAACAGTCGGGAAAGTAACTATGTTATCCTCCCGTATTATGCGCAATGCATCAAATTGACAAGTAGAATAACTGAGTGAGGCGTGGGATGGTCAAGGATGAAGCTAGTTGTTGAGCTATAGAGTTACTATGGCTGTCTCATATACCTCTTATACTCCGCACCTTTTGTAAATATACTATTGGAGCTATTTACTGGGCTATCATGATTCATAATCAGGCCATGTCTTGGGGCTTTATGAATCACGAGAGTCCTGCACCCTGACTCTTCAACTGGACCATTTACTCATATTACCAAATAATTTGATTATGACCTGCGAGCCGACTCGGGACACGATGGATCCATTTTTTCAACTCTCGGGCGCGGGATTGTTCGTAATGGTTGTGGTTTTCAGCTAAGTAATGAATTGATGGAGCTAATTCATAGGTAATGGCTACTCATTGCTTTCCGAGTTCGGAAGGAGCTGGAGTCGGTGGATATCGAATTTCCATTTGCTTGCTACTAGTTACATCTTCTTTTATTACATTTGTGCCCTTTAATTATCCAAAGTGCAATTGCTCTACTTGCTCTGTTCCTTGCAATGACTTTGTGATAACTTTGGAATCCTTGTAGCAATTGATACCCTGTTTTCATCGAAAGTTACTCGGCTTTTATGTCAATGTTTCATCCCAAATTGCATCGGCGATTGTGTAGGTATAACAAACTAATCATTATGCTCCTCTGATCTGCACTTGCAGACAGGAAAAGTGTTGTGCTGGCTTGGTTGAGTTGTTGGGAGACAGGGGAACGGAGGATGGGCTGCTGGATTAGGAAAGGGTGGAAAATACAGGCTGGTGCATAGACGCTGTTCAAGTACTTTACAGTCACTTCACCTGCCAAGTTTAGTAAATTAATCTATCCAAGTAATATCATACTTCACATCATCCATTAGATGATATTATCAATTGTCGGGATGCACATCTAGCATCAGCTTCATACATCACCATTGTCAGTAAGAGTTCACATTTGATACCTACTGACACCCATTTGGCCACAGTGATACGCACTCTGTGTCCATTGTGCCATCACCCAGCCCGAGCGCGCCATGTCCGCGACTCACCATTGCACATGAGCCCGTGCCACTCCACCGACGGACAGCAGAGACATAATTGCCATACACCTCACAGCTCACGACCACAAAAGCTTCACCTTTTATTACTGGGCTGGCGTGACCCACTGGCCCAGCTTTGCATGCGGGTAGCATTTGGCAAGTTACTCTTCCTTTTGCACGAGGCCAGACGCCAAGTGTTGACGTAAAGGTTTGTGGGGAGACACCTGATATTGGCATACTCCCACTAAAGTAATCTCTCATACAGAAAAATGTTGGTTACTTTGTGGCATTGCTTACGTGCAGCGAGCATGAACTTTCTGATTTTATCGCTCTTCCTTCCTCGACGACTAGACACAAAGATAACCCAGTTAGAAGTTTGGAACACTCATTTAGTCATTGCATCTGCTGATACCACTCGAGACATTTATACTAGGGACTGTCACCATTCCTTCAATAGACAGCTGGAACGTAAATAGTTAATTTGGTATTTTCGTGCATGGATGATGAGTAGGCTTTGCATGACTGCTTGGCTGAGGTTAAAGTCATGGATTTCAGACCCAATTATTGTGGCAAGATATTCTAAAGAAAGCTTCAACCAAAAGTGCCCAGTAAATTGTCTCGACAAATCTAAGACAGGCAGGATTGAATGACTCTCGGGATACTTCAACACAGTGCGAAAGACGTAGATAGTATTTCATATTTATGGAGTTGTTTTGGTAGATGCTTTCTTTTCTTCTAAGCTGCAAAGTTTGCAAACAACAAAACGTTGTGGGATAGATTTGTGAGGTTGGTACTGGCTGCCCCTGTTGAAACTAGTGCTACTTGGTGCTAGAAATTTTCAAGGATTTCTCGAGGAAATATCTCAAAAAACGAGTCTACAATTTTGGACGAGAATTTATCGATGGTTGTATATAATATCAAACTCTCTTCTCAATATGAATTAATAACACACATTATTCCATGAACTGAGCTTAACAAATGAAGATGACTCTATCCTTATTTACAGATCCCCAAGGCTTTAGTGATCCAGAACTCCTAGGGATCTGGTAACAGCCAGCCACTCAATTATTGCAAGGTAGCATTTCCCAGCCACTGCATTTCACATATCACTGAACCTCATGTCGCCTAGCTGAGCTTAATCATTTGCAATCGAAACCATACAATTGATCTTGATAATCATATCTTAAAATCTAAACCTTCATGATTACTCATACATTGACCGGCAACACAATTATCTAGCTTAAGAATGTAAGTCGTGTCCTTCACTATGTGGTAATAATTAACTATACACCACTCTGACACCAAGTGAGCTTAATCAAAATGTCTCCACAATAGTTTTGAGACTCTTAAATTTCCCAACTCACTTCACTTGGTGGTATTAAACATGAGTTTGAAAGTTTAAGCAAGTCTTGTTTAGATTAGGTCCTGGTCAACAATGTCGAGCCTGATTGTGCTAGGTTGTAGGCTACCGTGCCAATCATTCATTAAGTCACATTCTTGGCTTTGGATTTTTTTTTTTTTTGCATCAGATTATAATTGTGGCCTTGGATAGTTTTGCTTTGGTGTGGGTTGTCATTTTTTGTTTGACTATTGTTCAACATCGTGCTAGCTCACAACACACACAATTTTTTGAAATTCGAATTTTCGAATATTGACCCTTTCCCCCTCTCCCTCCCTCTCGCGCTCGTCCGATTCCTTCAATAATTTGTAATCAAGTCGCTGGCATTTTCATCATGCCACCTGTTCGAAAAATGCTCCCCAACACAATGTTGGACAACGCGAGGGTCCGCCCGAGGGCTCCCGCAAAAACACCAGGCCTCACTCAAAAACTTTCAAGCATGTTTGCAAGTGAGGCCTTCATCGAAGGGAAGTCTCCAAACCTTCCCGATAAAGAGATGACTGATTCTGAGCCCATCAGGTCAGAGAAAATTGGTCCCAAGACCAACATTCCCATCGAGCTTGCCCCGGAGGCAAGCACTTCAAGGAAAAGAAAGGAAGTCGTCCGAGAGAAGACGACAGAACAAGCAGAAACATCTGCAAGAAAATTCACAGTGCCAGCCCCAAAAGGCACAGCTTCGACATCAGCACCGGAATATCCTCCGGAGCTGCATTCAGTGATGGAGGCCGAGAAGCGTCGCACGACGCAAATCAAGGCCCGTTTATCAATCTGTTCCACTGCAATAAGCAGTGTTGAAGCAGCACTCTCGCCTCTCTCGATTGGCGACGAAAAAGAGTTTGTAGACGGCATCAAAGTCTACCTTCGAGCGGCCATTGGCCATTTCATACAATCCGGCCCAGGGAGCACTCCACCAGCTCTCCCTGCGCGCCCTAGCAACCCTCCTCCGCCGAGGGCTCATGAAATCAGGGTACCTAACCCTACGACAACCCAGGCTCCGGCCCAAAAGAAAACTTGGGCGAATGTAGCCCGAGCAGGCCTTGGCCACAGCACTGGGCCATCAACAAAAAAGGCAGCCCCACCTGCTTCAAAAGCAAAGGGTGCCAATACCAGGACAGCGGTCGATACGCGACTATTTCTACGCCTCGATTACGACCATCCCCACCGATTCCTTGCACCAGCTGGAGTAAGATCAGCTGTATCAGGGGCACTCGGTACCGCGGCTAACAACATCACGTTAGTTCAGCGGGTCAAAACAGGCTTTGCTCTAACAGCAAAGGATGAAATCGCTCGAAAAGAGCTCCTTGATTCCTCCGTAGAAAGGAGAGAATCAGGAATTAAATTGGAGCCAGCGTCAAATCTGGTTGCCCTACTCATTGCCACCGTCCCGCTGAGAATTAATACACTCACAGGTTCCGTTTTCATCACGGAAAAGATGGTCGCCAATCAAGTCACGCGAGTGACCAAATCAGTTTTTTTTCTTGTTCGTCCTCACGGGACCTGCAAACCTGGGGCGCCATACCAGAACTGGCAAGCGCTCTTCCCTCGCGAATCCACGCCTCGACCTGGATTTCGCCTCTTCGATGACTCTGGAGCTGCAAAGCTCTTCCAACCTCGTCGAAATATAGTTCAGTGCAAACGATGTCTTGACTTCCATGCCTCACGCGGTTGCTCCCGCGCTCTGGCTTGCTAGAATTGCGGATCAAAAATGCATTCTGAAACGGAGTGCAAAGCTCCCACACAGTGCCGAAACTGTAGTGGACCTCATCGATCGGACTCGCGGTTCTGCAAAGCTAGACCCAGCAAGTTCGGCCCGGTGAAAAAAGAGCAGCTTGCGTTAATTCGCAGAGCCGAGCAGAAAAATCACGCCGATTATGCTCGAATGAAAGCTGCAGCCGACATAGCCATTCAAGCGATGCAAGGCTCAAAGAACGACGTCTATATGTCGGACGGATCGAGTTTTGGGATTCTGGAAGCCGAAGAGGAGATTTAAGGTTGCGGCCAGCCTCAGTGAAGTCGTCGAGGCTTCAACATACTAACAGTAAGACACCAGATGGAAAAAGGGTGCCTGCGAGCTCATCTTCTACTCTCAGCGAAGGTCAGAAAGTGTCTCTTGAAAGATGTGACAGGAAAGGGAACGGGCGAGAAGCGCGGGATCCGGACCTACAGAGATTTCTTCTAAATTTGATTTATATTTTTGATTTTAGTTTTTGTTTTCAGTTTTTGTTTTTTGTTTTGCTGTTAACACCACCATTTATGTGGAAGTTCACGCGGTTGGAACGAGTTGGGCCTGTATACAGTGATCCTTACCAGCTCCACCTATCCTTGACCCAATGTGGAAAAAATAGCTTTAGCTTAGGACAGAATAAACAAAACAAAAAAAAACAAACAGCCGTGCGGTCTCATGTTGGCCAGCTCAGTCTACATCAACTACCCGACGTGCCGACGCTTTTAACTAAGCCCGACATGTAATAAATGGGCCCAAGCCAGCCTGCCATGCACCCCGAACTATCAATTGAAGTCAAAAGCACTCTCCAGCTGAGACTTTTGTATTCTAATACAGTAGAGAAGATAGTTATCTATATTAACAGAAAAGTTATCCATCACCTAGACCAATAGTCTATCAATCTGAGCTCTAGCAAAAACAGGCCAAATATTTATAGTTTAAAGTACTAATTAGTGTTCTTATTGCATGCTTCAAAAAAGCATCTTTCATGAAGCCATTTACTAAACGCCTCGTGTGACGGAAACCGAGTTTGTCATGAATAAGTCGATTTATTAAACTATATGAGGAGAGCAGAGAACTCTAGCTACAATTAACAGGTACTTATAATGACTGATCCGCTGCGTGTATCTACTAATAGATGGTTTTCCTCCAGACATCATACTCGCTAACTAGCCACGTATCGTTGGGTGTTACTTAGTTGTAACAGCAATCTAGCGTCCTGATTAGTATTATTGTTGTGTCTAGTTCCATCTTCCCCTCCCCATGCGACCTTATTGTAAACAATCCAAGTATTACGCTTAGGTATCCACCTAAGCTCATACAAAGGTCAAACTGTAACATAACCCCCCCATTTACCCTCTCCTCTTTTCTCTCCTTGACGCTGGCCCATTGTTTGTCTCTGATGAGCCCCATTTTTTTTTCCCAATTGTCGAGTGCTGCAGCATCTTGCAAATTGATGAGAGATTTCCACTCAGGTTGCGCCATTCTAGTCCACTTTACTAAGGCCTGTCTTTCTCCCTTCCTTGTCTGACATCTAAGCACTTCATCAATTCGGTATTCTTCTATGCCATCATCACCAGTGATAGGGCCTGGATTTTCGTCCTCAAGTGTCTGAGACAGCAACGGATCTTCTTCGGCTGGTAGAAGCAAGTCGACGTGAAATCGGTTATAAATTCTTCCAGGGATATCAAGTTGCACTACTTCTGGCGAAATCAATTTTGTGACTGTATACTTTGCATGTTGTCATCCCAACTTCTTAGAAGGTTGATCCTCCAATCTAATGTTTTGAGTAGTTGTCAGGGGTCGGAGGACAGGAGACTTATAAGGAGAGGGATTGGGGCGGAGATTGAGACGGGGACGAGATGTAGACGAGGACAGAGACTAGGACAGAGACGAAGACTAGGACTTAGGACAGGCGAGATTCTAAGATGTAGATAAAATACAAGACAAAAAGCTACAGTACAAATACATCCCAAGAGCTTCCTTAAGTACCTGAGACCGGTCACTACAATCAAGGGTGCAATAGCCCACAGCTGTTACATAGCAACTGATCAGTATCTTGACTAGTGACTGTTGCTATCACAACACTGTAACCATTGCAACGCACTAACCCTATTCCTGAGTGTATTCATGGGGCGGTTGGCCAGGTGTAATACAATATCACAAACTGGTCTGTGACAGTAGTAGCTGTTGGAAAACCGGTATGGGTTCGATGAGTAAGGCGGCTCAAAGAATATGGGCGCGATTTTATGAATAGAATAATAATGATATGAATCGGGAGAATATGTGATAAACTGTGGAGAAATAAAAGATGGTCTGAATAAATTGAATTGATTAGATTATTATCTGTCTTAGTGATTCCTAGACAGCTTATATACATGTAATCTTGATAGACTAAATCCAGACTAGATACCATCCATCACTCGTTCCATACTCTAACAATGACAATGAAACGCACGACAGTATACAATATGAGTATGGGGTCAGGGTTGGTGGATGAAAGCCTACACGTGTATTAGACCATACCATGCACTAGTCGAGTCTCAAGCATTAAACAAGCTCAGTA